CGAAATGTGGAAATGACGAGCGAAATGTGGAAATGACGAGCGAAATGTGGAAATGACGAGCGATATGTTGAAATGACGATCGAAATGTGGAAATGACGAGCGAAATGTGGAAATGACGAGCGAAATGTGGGAATGGGGAGCGATATGTAGGAATGGGGAGCATATGTGAAAAATAGCAAGCGATATATGTGGAAATGACAAAGCAGGTCGGGTGGAGTGAGCAAATTTCACTTCGATTTGGAATTACATGGGGGGAAAAAACTAAACTTTAGTTTCAAGTATGATTCAATTTTACTTTTACTTTAAAAACGTATATCATTACATTTATTCCTTCCCCTTCCCCCCACATTTCATCCTTTGCATCATGCAGTGCAGCTTCATTCACCTCAAATCGAATTAGTAGGCTATTTTATTCTAACAAAGTTCTTATTTTTAACTTTAATTAAGTGTCCATAAAAGTCCTTTGTCCTTGTCCTTTTTATCTGAAAATATAAAAGTTGATCAATAATAGTTATTTACGCATAAGAATACGATACAAAACCCTCTCACACTAGATCATCTCTTTGCCAAAATCAATACTGAAAATAGATCCCTTTGAACTGCTGTTTCGAATACTGATTTCATAATGTTTGCGAAAGTACCCGTAATGATAAGAGTTTACTGTACAGACTTGCGCACGTTTAATCTCCTTCCAGTGTACATAACAAAACAATGCTACTCCAGCTACAATAATGATACAATAAGAACTCAGCTTACCTTGCGTATTGGTTCTGATTACTTGCCGTACGGTGCGTAAGCTAGGGAAGAAGGAATGGATTGTTAGCTCTATTCATGTTCATCAAGATCATGTTGTTTTGATCTAGAYCCGCAATGGCAACTAATCGCCCTCTTTCAAGAGAAACGAAACCGACGCAAAGCCGACATCAGAACGATTCCAGTCCGACGTAGGTCCGATGAAAATCCGATACGATACGCTAGGCACTTACCACTGCAAGGTGGAAGGTATGCGTTACCGCAAGGCTTTATTTCCACGTATTTTCCATGGCACTTCTTACCACCGCATGATGGTTTTGGTTTATTACACTTGCGGGTTCTCTTTTGCTTACGTGTAGGTGGGCCATAAGAGGAGGGCATGCACACACAGGCAGACCATTTCGACCATGGTCCAAATCCACCGTTCACTGAAAATATCATAGACTACATGTCAGGTACAAAGCAAGAATTGAATCTTATGTATAGCAGTCTCATGCACAAGTGCATTTAAATAGATAGATATGGATAGATAATCGTATCTCTTTTAGTAACCACTGAATTACAGATACTGATGATCAGCAACCGATTAACTCTTAACATACATAAATAATTCTCAAGTCTACATGCATAGATGTATATCAATACCTTTGCAGCACTTGGTGTTACACTTCTTTGTCATTTTGGCAGATCCAGGGCATTTCTTTCCACCACGTGATGGAGCAGGTTTGTTACATTTCCTCGTCCTGGTTTGTTGTCCACCACCACATGGCTTGGAGCATTTGCTGTAAGGTCCCCATGGTCCCCACTTGCCGTCAACTGATAAAAAATTACAAGTTAGCTTTTTTTACTGATTTAATGAATCACTGAAAAAGTCGATTATTTACAGAGTCTGTACATTAACTGTAAATTAATTGTGTCCAAAATATTCAGAAATGTAGATAAAACTCATAAAATTTCAAACTATTTCCATTGTTTTCTATACTCGCAGATCTCTTGCATTTGCACGGACTGTTAGTGAATAAAAGGATTCATTACATGGTTTTGAGGCTAACACAGCGTAAAAGAGATGGCTAAAAGGATTTATTAAGAGAGGTGGTAAGTGAATAAAAGTGTTTTTTGCGTTGTGTTGTTTTCTTATTTCCCTATACATGCCRTATAGCGCTTTTAGAATTAAATTTCTTAATAAACTGATAGTCTTACTAAATGACTTGAAACCATGGTAAGATMCAAGGCAATTTTTATATAATGTTTGTACTGGCTGAATGGTATTTACAACCGCTTTAAAAGTTAATAGGGTCAAAATTYGACAAATTGAATAATAGCTCTTACCTGTATCATCATCGACAATGATAACTTTGGTGATCTTAAATTTAACTGGAAAAACAGCAGGCGATTTTCCAGATAGTTTAATGCGGAAGAATTCAACATTTTCGACAAGTTTATCGTTTTTAATGTCTATGTCTACAGACTGGACTTTCACTTTTGCTGGAAATACCACATTGCGATCAACTGGACCACGGTCTGAATTACCAGCAGAACCTCCTGGTAGCAGCGAAATCCTGGTAACAACAAACAACAAAAATGAAGGAGATGATCAAGACGTATTTTCTATCTAAGGAAGTAGAGATAAAGAGTATAGAGATGTCGCTTTTTATGGTTTGAGAGTGAGAATTCACAAATAGAGCTAGAGAGACTAGCTAGAGAAGAGGCA